CAGAAATTCCGACAGCTTCAGAGTAGAAAGCTATGAAACGGATTAATTAAAGCGTCAAGATTCCACTACAGTTGTGTCCAAATACACACATGTATATTTTGATATGAGTGTGATCATCCTAGCACGGCTTACACATGTCTGCATGGGATAGGAGTGATTGCAGCCTGTAAAGTGACGTTTAAAGGATGTTTATCTGTTGATTTAATCCATAAACTCCTGGCTGTAGCCACTTATATACAATATAAAACCTGATGAACTTCCTGCCCAAATGTTCACTTTTTGAAGTAACTTCTATGACTTATTTAGAGGTGTCTAAATACAAATATGTGAGAAGTATGGTGTTTCAGTACTTTTTTTTGTAAATATCTGACTAAATTAGATAGAAGTTTGTTTTGCAGTAGAGCAGGTTCAGCCTCCAGTCGACCCTGCTTCTATTTCCCTTCATATCTACACCAGTAAATGCTTTGCATGGCACATTTACTCCATAACAACTTGGCAAAAACAGCCATGATGCTAAGAGGACCTCGCTATTTTAGTATGACCAAACAGGAAATCGTAAGTAGACCCACAAACCTCTTATTTATAACTTGAAGTAGGCGGGATGGTGGAGTCATGTAGCCTGCAGCCTCGCGCCATGCGTTAAACCTTGAACAGAAAGCTTTTCCACTCGCACTGTTTTCACGCAGCTAAACTGTTTACTTCAGTATTTAACCACGGATATTTACCTTGATCCAGTAGCCGCAGGGAGTGTTGAAAAGACGGATCCAGCGTGTCCTTCTCTGCCATAAGCTCCGGCAAGTACTTCTCGCTCTCCATCTCGTCCTCGGCTGCGGGCTCCAAGAAAAAACTGTTAAATCTGTTTCGAGTAAATAATGAACAAAACTTGCTCAACGTCCAAAAGGCTCCAAGTTAGCTCCAAATATATTTTCAGAGGGGGAAAAAACGCGTGTGACAGTGTCATTCGCGCTGGCGTTACCAGAACATTTCTCAGTCCTCTGCGCACTCTCTGCCTCACTAACAGTAAGTGCTTAAATGTGACCAGGAGGTTTTATCCCATCGATGAGACTCTCAGCCAGCTGAGCCCCGCTTCGCATTACAGCCAGAGTGAGTGAGGGTCCCTCTCCTCTTTGGGTGGACAGGCTCTTTGTAGCTCACGCTGTTGTATCCAGTGCTGAAGAGAAGCAGCAGCAGCTATTGGTTGCCACGCGCGACACGCAGCCGGTGGGGGGGAAAGGGGGAGGAGCGACACACCGGAGCTGTCCGCGGTGCTGAGTCCCGCCATTACCATATCATTATCGTAAAGTTGTCATGAGCACGGAGGCAAAGTACAGCAGTCTTCTGTCAGTTATTGTTAAAACTAACAAAGCCTCTCTCCTCTGCACACTCACAGGTCCTCTGCAGCACCTCATTTGCAGCTCTGTTTCTTTTTATTGTGGGGGAGACCAGGGTTGGTTGTTACGCTTTTTAAGGTCTCACACACTGGGACCGTTTTTGTCTTGCGACTATTTTGGACGTCTTTTTTTTTTTTCGAACCCGTATCCTGTCAATACAAGCGTCACATCAGCGATGTTTTCCACTTCTGCGATATTGCGGCATTTATTTTTTTCAGATCATGGTCGATTTTTCTAAAGTTTTTCAGACTGTGTGTCCACTTCTGACCAATCAGATTTCGTGTTGGTGCGACGTCAGATTTACTGGTATATCCAACATGGCCGACTGGCTGATTTTTTGTGATCATTTACACAAACATTACAAAGATAACGACCTGAAAGACAACTTGTGGAGAGTCATAGCGTCGGATTTCTGATATGACAATGTTTTGTGTGCTTTAACAGTTTGCTAAACATCTTGTTTTAACTTTCATCTGTGCTAACGTAAGCTAACGGTTGTTACCATAGTTTCATGTGCTTATCTGGTACTGGCCCCAACTCAGTACATGCGATCATGACAGAAAGCCATCTTAACACTAGTGTCTGGTGTTTAGTCCTCTGCCTCTTCAAACTTGGAGCTAATTGTTTCAGCAGAACTTCAAACTGTCCGTAAACAGGATGGTAATGGAAGGTCCAGCCCTCCTTCGCATCTGATTGGCTATAAGTGCTGACTGTTTGGCTTAAGCGTGTGATGACGTTTCCAGCATTTCTGGCCAACCAGAGGCGAAGAAGAAGGGACTTTCCACTGGAAAAGTCTTCCACGGGATGCGTCTTTTTCCCCCCGAAAAGTCGCAAAATCGCATCGGGCTTGATGTGTATAGTCAGGCGTGTCAAAATTCGCCTCTGAATATTTTGTGATTTCGCGTTCTTTATTCGCGTCGGCCCCGGTGTGTAAGGACCTTTACTCTCCAGTGAATCTGAAGTTATGATCATTACATTTTCAGTGGCCATTGTGGAGGTTTTTAACCCTTTCATGCATAATCATAGACTGTATATACTACAGACAACTTGGTTCTGCCACCCGCCCTTATCCGGATTGGAAGCCAAAAAGCTCTCAGTATTTCCAGGATTTTTCTTCATTTCCTGAAACCAGCATTGCACAGGGAAGGCCAATGTGGCCTGCATGCATGTATGCTCAAAACAGGCACACTCAAAATCAATAATTGTAAATAAGATTTATGATTTAGTTTTCATTTCCTTCTCTATTATATATTCTGTTTTGAGCTGAAAATACGAAAACAAACACTATTACTAGATTGAATGGAATTATTGTATGGACGGATAATACATGAACTGGACAGCTATTCAAAAGGTGTTCTTTAGTATATGCATGGATTTTGTTGTTGTTGATTCAGTTCTTAAAAAAATTTAATTGATGCTTTAATTGATGTTTTCTGGTTTGAGTCCTGTCTGTTTATGCTATATCTTTGAAGTTAGAGTCAGACTGAACAGAGGTAGTAGAGGGCAGAAATATTAAAGACTGTGCCGCTTTCTCAGAGAGTGTTTAGAAGGCTGTGGACAATATTTTTCTGTCTTTTTGTAGAAAATCTTAAGAAATCTGCACTTTATCAGTTCGGAGCTAAGTTCAACAGTTTTGCATTGCTTTGAATATGTGTTAGAGTATATTAAAATCTAAGGAAATTAGCTGCATTAAATAGGTTTTCACTTCACAGTTTTCATAGAGTATCATTTTCTGGCATTGGTTTGTCAAATTCATATTTAATTGTTAAAAAACTCAAACACATGGTGTCCAGCTGAATGGAAATTTTTGTAACTCCAAAAAAAATGGGTTCCTGAGAAAAATGTCAATTTCATCATTTTTTATGTGCCTAAAGAGGAATGAAAACACAAAGGGAAAATATTATCTGAAGATCTCATAATTCATGCATGAAACTAAAAACCTCCATAATGGCCACTCAAAAATCATGGTTTTTGAGAGTAAAATGATGGTTCATCTTGAAACATTTAACTCATAGATGACTTCTATAAGAAATTCACTCTGACCTTTAAAGATGAAAAATGTCATCTCAACTCAATGTTTATTCCACTTCAAAAACTGGGCAGATGGAAATAAAAATAAGCTCAGGCAAAATGCTTGATATCGACACGATGACACAGTTGTCTAACGTTGGCTGTAACAAGCAATGTGATGACCAATCTGTGAGGCATCAAACCCCATCCCTACTCTTTACAGTTAGACTTGATTTGTCTGCTTTCTGTGTCTGAGGAAATTAATAAAACTTAATACACAGTCAGAAGAGTAACTTTATTCTTTAATGCGTAATGAGAACTAAAGACAAACCAAGTCTGAATCTGGTATATCTGCTTAACTCAGTCACAAAAATAAAATAACTATGTTTTCCACAACTACACAGCAATAGAGAAGCTTTTTAAGAGAAAGAGTAATGAAATTTATGAATGACACTAAGTCTAGTCAGTATTTAGTGGTACAAATAAGCAAAAAAGCAACTAATGGGAAGGATATTTGGCACACATAGCCGACTGATTTTCTGTTTGTAATTCAACCCTAAAATGGTCCAGTGAACTTGGTTTTCTGGCATAACAGATTGGCTTTCATATTTTCCAATTAAAGTTCAAAAACCAAGTTAAGTACATTGTGAACATCCCAGCAGACCCCAAATTTAATTGAAATGTCTTCACAAATCCAAAAAAAGAGGAAAATTATGCAACAAGAGCCTTAATAAATTCTGTAACAAAATCAATCTTCAGCATAAAAATGATCAAAATTATAAATGGTTTCACCCTTAGAGACATAACTTTAGCTATCCTGAAGACAATATTGAAGATGAGAACTTTAAACTTTTTGATGAGTAACACGAACTCTCACAAAACAGAGATTTTTTTTTTTCCGAGCTGCATATATTTACTCCAAGGTTGTCTCACACATTAATACAGTAGACATGAATATAGATGGTGAAGATGTAAAAATGACCTGAGATAATTACTAGAAGATCCACCCAGAGGATGCTAATGAGTCCAGATCCTGATGTAGATGAGATGTGCACACATTAAGGCCGTGGTGCGCTGTTAATACTGGGCTTATTTCCTCAGATGACGTACGCTGCTGTATTTCAAACATGTCGGTACAGCTAGGAGGAACATCTCAGGAGGCCAAATAATTGTTCTTTTTACCGATTTAAGCCATTGATCAGGGCTGCATGACTCCTTAGGTAGCTTTTACTTGTTAGGACAACCTGTCAATAGATTCATTCACCTTTTCAAAGGTCAAGCATGCATTTGTTCTGAACGTGTTTTTGAATTCATTAAATAAGAAAGAAAACAAGGTCACATAAAGCCCCTGTCATTATTACAACAGAGCTTGATGAGTCTCCGCTATCTAAAAAAAAAAAAAGGACTAACAAGGACAGGCAGTGGCACTATACGGGCATAAAAACAGTCTATCCAGTCTATGGATCTCTTAAGATACAGCCACAACACACTTTATCAGAGATCCAAAGCCTTACAATAGGTTCCTGCAAGCATACAATGAATGCATAAGAACCATTATGAGGAATTTAGGGCATTCAACTGCTAGGAAGAGTGATTTGTGTTCAGCTTGTGTTTGTTCGAATATGTGGAAAAAAAGATAAGAATTCCGTCAATATTTGTTGAGGATGCCGAGGTAGCCTCAGGTGGGCGGCTATCTGTAGGCTGATCAGCAGTGGTTATATAATTGAGTATTTTTTTTTCTCTCTCCATTCTATTTCAATAACTTTGAGAAAATGTGACCCAGAGGCTAACACCAAGATAGGTTTATGTATATTTATTAACATTATATCCTCGGTGAACTCAGAAATCTGCTATTGGTTATTTTGCTTTTGGAGCTTGAGTTGCACTGTAGAGTAACTGCTTCGGGCTTTAACGATGATTTATATGAATTTATATCTACTATATATAAATACGTGGTGAAAATATGCACACTTGCCAGTTGAGGTACACAGGGTTGAAAGGTCTGCAGTTATCTATGTACAGAAGGAAGAAAGATAGATTGTGTAACTAAGTAATGCTTGTCAGTCATTTTAACCTGACGTTAGAGTCCAAGTGCAAATGGACCTGAAGCACTTACTGATCTTGTTTCTTCTTGTCTAGATCTCTCTCGAACATATGTCACTTTGAATAAAAGTGTCCGCTAAATGACTTTATAACATTGTAACATTTAAGATTTATGAAATTGCACTCATGCAGACAAGAAACATGACATGCTTTCTTCCTTTTTTACATATCTTAAGCATGATGAGAGGTTGTTTTACCGCAGATCTTTGCAGAATCTTGTTTATGAGTAATTCAGTGCATAGAGAGACGCATTATGAATCAGCTTACTTTTTAATCTCTCCCGGAGACCATTAAAAAACGGCTCAAATGTACTAATCTCCTGTTCAGAAGAGCGACTTATTTATAGATATGCTTGCCATCTGTTGCTCCCCAATTCCATAAACAAAAGCCTCACATTGTCATTGATGTTGGAATCAAAGTTGCAAGCCAATACGTCTTCCTCAAGACATTTGTTTCCACCACTAAATGATAGCAATACATCAACTGCAATGAAAATAATGATAGTTTATGGGGCAACATTTTATATATGTCACAGCTGACCACAAGGGCAGCAGCACCGGTGTAAACAAAGCCATGAGAAATGTTCTGTCGGTGGGTGTAAAAAATGAGGAACAGTGGGCTATCACATTGACAAAGTGTTATTTTGATCATTAGTGAATGGCTGCCCCCTATCCTCACCTCTCAGCCCGATAAATATGATGTTAACTACACCTAGAACTGGACAGCCTGTGCAGTGCCTCAGGCTGCTGTACATGATATATGCCCTTCTATGTCTGCACACATTTGGAGTCAGTGTTTCTCTTTTTGTTAACAACACGTGGGGGTCTAATCAGAGCTGCAGTTGTCTTCCCAGTGACTCAATGTAAATCCTCGCCGATTTAAATGCAGACAAGTCTTGTCAGCTTTCAGTCTGTATAAAATCCCCTTTCAGCCTCGAGATGTCATTTGGGTCTTGTCACCTGAGATGTAATTACACCTTGATTTGTTCGCGAGCTGATTGCTGTGTCACTCTGTGTCGCGAGGGGGGGAACAGGAACTAGGAATGCAGAGCCAGAGAGATTTCCCATTCGCACTTTATTTTTGGCTCAGCAAAATTTACAGGATTACAGTGGCAAATCAGGATCACACTTTAAATAAGTGGATTTCTTCTAGCACCACATTCCAGTGCAGGCAAGCAGGAGGACTGCTGGAAAGAGTGACAATACTGCCTCCTTGTGACCATTTTAGCTATTTATGTAGGTATGTTCAATTTCAAAACAAGGTTTTTTAGAGCTTTTCCCAAGGAGACTCCTGCTGGAAATCAACAATAAGGTTGGACTCCAGGTAATTACTTGAAAGCTTTGCTGTAAATACTGCAGTTTACTTAATTTATAAGCAGCCACATTATATACTGTACAGCTGTGCTTTTAAAAGCATTATTACACAGATCCAAAGGTGCTATATTTACAACTTATACTCGCAGCATTTAGAGAAAATGTTTGTTATTGGTCACAAGTACAGAGGGAATTGTTTTTGCATTATCGTGTTGCTCCTTTTTCTTTATTTATTCAGAGCTATAAGATTCAGCATGCCTGCTTTCTAAATAAAAAATGGTAAAAAAAGCCCTAATGATGCTACACTGCATTTATTTAACTATGCAAGTGCTTCCACTACTCTCTTGTGTCGTTGTTATACAACACAGTTTTTGCTTTTCTCTTCCCTGGTAACTTTAACAAAGCCTTTCTTTCAAGATATTGTTTTCCCTCTCATACAGCACTACAATGCTGCTCCAGTCACAAAAGGTACCTTATTGTGGCAACTAAATGGAGCGCTCACATCCATTAAACAGCCATTCAACAGAATTATATTGCCAGCGCCGATCTATCAGGTACATTGATCATGCATCGTCGGCTGTAAAGAGCAGACTCTGGGCTACTCTCCTGGAAGTGTTGTGAAAAAGAAACCTAATGAGAAACTGTCAGGAGCTCACAGGTAAACAAATCAATGGCACCCAGCAGTGCTCCCAAGGTCAAGGCAAACACACACACACACACACACACACAAACAGCATCAACACCTTTAACAAACTTAGAGTTGGAGCTTCAACCGTCTATCCTGAAAAGAATCAACTTTCAGCAGAAGAGGAACATGGATTATGTTTTTTTAGTGTTTCATAGTCAAGGAAACTGAAAAACACTTTTGCTTTTCTGACTAACATTTCATGAGTTCCTGAAAAAATAGAAATGTAACACTAAAAAGGGAAACAAAAGGGAAAAGGCTTGAGTGGTTCAGTCACTGATTGAAAAAAATCCTTGAGAGCTCCTTGACTTTTGAAGAGTTTTTCTTTTTTGAAACAATAAATACATGTTTGTTGACACCATTTGTAAGTATGTGAAATCTATTTATGTGGGGCTTTTCTCAATAGACGTCAGAAATGTTTTACATAAACACCAGGGTTTAGGTGTTCAATCAAGGTCCAAAGGTAGCTCTTTTAATCACATAGGGCTCTATTTTCGTGTACGCCGGTGAGGCGGCGGAGGGTGGCGGACCCCGCGCAGTTGTATTTTCGTCAGCTGCTGCTGCTGCAGTGGCTGAACGGATGATTTGTTTCAGTGCTCAGATGAGTTATTTACTTTAAGCCTACATACGGATATGATAATATTCAGTTTTGTGAGCCAAATTTATTTTATATGCCAATCTATGAAAGAAAGAGCTACGGAGCGCGATGCGTCATTTACGCACAGATGGTTCCGATTTTAATGCCATTTTTGGAGTTTATGTTGTGATCTGTGCACACAACCCACCTTTGTCACGTGAGGTTTGAATATATGCAACTTTATGTGAGTGTCTTTATTTGTGGAAAAGGGTGTTTGTCTTACCAGTGGGTCCAACATTACACACACCAAATCCATCTGTGCTTAAATGAGAGAGTGTGGAGGACGCCCAATGCAGCGTTTACAGCGACACTTTTTGAGGGGCTGCCTTCTGTCGCCATCGTGTGGCATTGCTGTCTTCAGACATCTCTCGATCTCTTTGACTACTTCGAGAAAATAGTAATACGCCTCGCCGGTGGTGGATTTAAAGGCAAGGAGAGAAGCTCATGTGATAAACAGGTCTCGGCTGTGTTAAACCCACTCCACGCCCTCTCTCCTCCCTCGCTATGATTTACGCCGCTGGGAGGAGCTGAGTTAGGGAGGGGGGATACTTACGCCGGGCTGCGCCTCTCACCAAAATACCAAATTGTGCTTGGGAATGCCTTGTCGGCGCGGCGGACCTGACTTACGCCGCGCCTGCACCACGTCTCCGGCGAGGCACGAAAATAGAGCCCTGAGTGTTAAACTGGATATCACCTGAAAGTATCTCAAGTTTGAGCCGCGAGCTAAGAATACAGTTACAGGTGTTGAGACTGATGTCAACAGACAACTCCATCACAAAAGCAGTCAAGGTGCCATTTGGAGAATGAGAATCTTGAAGTTGGCATGTTGTGATTAAGTAACAACAGTTTTACATACTTAACTATGATTTCTTTAACATACTATACTATGCCTATACTATTATATGATATTTTTTAACATACTATACTATGACATTTTTATCGTACTATATTATGACATTTTTAACACACTATACTTTTACGTTTTATCATACTGTACTTTGACATTTTTAACTATACTGTGACATTTTTATCATACTATACTATGACATTTTTATCATACTATACTGTCACTTTTTTATCAAATACTTTTATTCATACTACACTATGACGTTTTATCGTACTATACCATGATATTTTTATAAATGAAAAAGAACAAGCAACCAAAGCAAAACTCCTGAAAATTGCAAATGCTTTTGCTGTCATCAATGATCTCTGAACATCACTGGGTAATGCCTGCATGCTATACTGACAATTTAATACATGCATCCTTGCACGTTTCTTCAAGTGCAACAGAATCATCCTTAGAAAATAAAGACACATACTGTTTTCACAGAAGAAGCACTGTTAAGCTTTTTCTTCTCCTCTAAGTTATGGTTTCAGACCACACCGGTAAAGCAGTGCAGCACTTATTTGAATAATAAATCTAAAAGTCAGGATGATATAATACATGTCATTAAATTAATTCAATTTTCAAATCAAGACGCTGGTAAGAATCGCCATACACTGTTATTATGAACAAAAAAAAAATGTTTTGAAGTGCAAAATTAAAAAATATATGAAACGTAAGATAAAAAATGTGATTTATTGCAGTTAACTACTGAAACTCTGCCTGAATACAAAATTAACAAGTACAGAAGCCAAGAGAATAAAGAGGCCACTCCAACCATAAAAAACAAGGAAAACTCAAGAGTAAATCACAAAATAAGTAAACAAACATTCCTAGTATGTAATCTTGCTTGAACATATTAACCAAACTCCTGCCTGCCTGAATGAGTTTATTCCCAACTTTACAGAGTCAGCAGATGGTTGAAATGTCCTTCGAGAAACCCGCAGTTTGGGTATGAAGAGCCCAAAGGCTGGATCGCCAGGGTTTCATGTGTGTGAGCACAGACTGCTTCTGAGAAGTTGGAGAGAACCAGGCTAGCTGTTTTCCACATCAGTCTGCATTAACCCTTTGAAGACAAAAAGCTACAAGAGTGGTATTAATTTTATCATTTTGTATCTGTGTATCTTTGTATCTTATTTATGTATCTGTGTCACCTACCTGGCTTTATCTATGAACTGTTCACAGTCAAAATCGTGCAGTATAACCAGCTGCGTGTGTTGAAAAGATCTCAAAAAGTAACATGACCGTTAGCTAAGTATAGTAAGTTTTTGTTTCAGCTCCTTCTGCATGTAAAAATATGCCATGTTTTCAGCTGTTGTGTCAGTATGATACACTGTGATAGAGTCAGTCATCTCCAGAATTTGGAGGGTCGACCTTTCGATCCAGGGCTCCTCACAGTCACATGCTCAAAAGTCCTCGGGCAAAACACCAGACCCCAAGTTTATGACATTGTCAACAGAGTGTGAATGCATATGAGTGGAATTAGTTTATGCTGATGGTCCCACACCATGGCATCCAGTGTTAATACATGGTGTGAATTAGAGAAAGACTTGAAGCCATGCACATATTCTGTGAGATAGTTTTCTTTAAATATGCAAAACTAACTGAAACTGAAAAAAATGCAGTGGAAACAATTTCACACTTTGTGCTAATGAAATAATAGAGAGTAATATAAAAGCACAAGCAATAATTTAGTATATGCAAGGGAATTTAGACATAATAATACAGTGACATGTTCCTCTAGGGCTTTGTACTGTGGTAAATTATCACACTGCCCGCACAAACAAACTGTTTTTACTCTTCTAAACCATGTGAACATGACAGAACAGATAATATCAGATGATATCACTGGGGTTTTATTAGATCATCTAGATTTTAACACATGTGTAAGAGCTTTGTCCGTTATGAGAAAAAGGTTAATAGAGCAGCCTGAAGAAGTTCATGTTATATGCAGTGACTAAATGTGTGGTGAGTGTTATCACTGAGCTCTTGCAGACCACGCAGACACACAAGGTCAACAGCAGTAATTATTCTGTGGGAAGCGTTTTGGTCTACAGTAGGTGATTTCATTTCCTGTCATTAGCCACAGCGATTAAGCAGGAGAACAATGATACTATGATAGTATCAGTAACCACCATGAATGCGGCCTCAGGCTCTTTGTAATACGCACCAATGTTCCCTGAATGTCTATCTGCATGGGTTGACCCTCCTGTTACATTCAAATAGCCTAAGCTTCAAGCTTTTCTCTGCTCAACTTCATTTCCAAATTATCATATCAGCTGGACTGGATATCACCATCAGGTCCTCACTTGTTATTCTAAACACCATGTAGAAGACAGTGATGGAGTCAATTACGACATCTGAGAGAGCCAAGGCTACAAGTCTGCAATATTGGTGGAAAATTCAAGCCAAAAGCTGTTTGAACATTAGAATGGGAGGGGGAAAAAAGCTGATTTTACAGAAACAGATGCATCTTCCATTATGCACAAAGTTTAAGCTGATGTGAATCCTTTTTATCCCCAATTTGAACACAACGCTTAACACTGTTAAACACTTTCAGAGGAGTATTAGCATCCACGTCAAGTTTTGTTTCTGGCTATCCAGCAATGTTGGTCATATATTTACTCTACCTTTCCTCAGTGTGTGTGAACTTTCGGTTTCACACCAAGCTGGAGCCAGTCCAAGTTATTTTACGACAGGGTGCACCGAGTCGGAGATGAGGGCCAGGCCAGGGCAGAGTAGTGTTGTTGTCATGGAGGTGGGCGGCCTCCGCGGCTAGAGTCCATTTGACGTTCATAGTCTTGGATTTGGTAAAGGGTGGAAATCCAACCTTCCAGTTTGGTTATTTTCTAGGATAACCGAAGGCATCCAGCACAGTCTGGTGGAGAGGTAAGTGGAGACATTATTTTGTTACGACTTGTTACCAGTTGTCAAGGTAAACAAATCTGTCCCAGTGCGATGGGCCTGTTTAGGGTCAGAAATCTTTAAATCACGGCACAGGTAAAACATCAACTTTGGTGTCAGGCCAGACCAGACCTGGTAAAATGCTAAATTTAAAACTATTAAAAAGAGCACAAACTCTGGCTCGATCAGTCAGCGGCTGTAACGGCGTGTGAGGTCATCAATGTGCGATTTACTCTATAGATAATATACACTGTTTACCTTTGTGTTACATCACCTTCTTTAACTCTGTTAATGTTGTCAAACCAAGGAAAAGTTTGTGGTGTTCTGAAAGTGAAACAGTGTCCCATTTATTTTGGTTGCAGTTCATGGTTCCCGTCATATTTTTGTTTTATGATTCTCCAAATGTTTTAAGCGGGTGAGAAGTCTAGACAGCAAAAGGGCCAATTAAGCTCTCAGACTACAACACAACAGAGAGCTGTAACGTGCAAAATGTCTTGGTGAAGCATTTCAAGTCCTTCCTGAAAAAGACAACATCTAAATGGCATCATCTGTTTCTCCAAATCCTGTAAATGTTGTTCAGCGTTTATTGTGGCTTCTCAAAATGTGTAAACTATCCATGCTACAGCCCCTTAAACATTACCACCCTATTAAGGATGTTGGCTCTTGAACTGTGTGCTGATCATCACACACGTTAACATCCATTAACTCCAAAAAGATTTTGATTCTTCAGTCCATAAGACAGTGTTTCATTTTGCGTCAGTCCATCTGAAATATTCTTGAGAGACGTTGCCAGTGTTTCTGGATATTGTCTGTTTATGGTTTCTTCTTTCATGGTACAGATTTAATCTGTGTTGGTGGATGCTTAAACTAATTTTGTTCACAGTAACAATGTCTGGTTTCTGGAAATAGTTTTGAGCCCATGCTGTGATTTACACAACAGAGTAATGTCTGTGCAGTGTGCAGTTTTGGTTTGTTGGCCTTCTGTCTTTTGAACGATGCCTGAAAGAAAGATGAAATGTAGGGAAAGAAAAGGAAATGGCAGGGACCAAATTATATCGGGAATTGATCCTACAACTAGTGTGACAAGCAACCTCTGTACATGAGCTTAAACCACTGGAATCCCTAAATTATCAATCAATCAGGGTTACATATGTAAAAACATTTAGAAAATAGTTGAAAATTTAAATCACTCAACAGGCTGAAAAGTTGTGTTGGCTCACTAATTCATGGTCAACTTAAAACAATGCAAGAAAGTTAGGGAAGCATGGTTAATGAGTGTTTCAAACATTTACTTAAACTGAGATTCATTCATGAGCTAAGAAATGCCCAAAAATTCAACATGTATGCTTTAACTATTATTAAATATAAATGATCAAGTTGGTAATGGAGCATTAAAAGTCTGTGGTGTTCAGTGGAAGAAGATGTCGGAAAGGGAGGTATAAAAAGCAGACAATGAAAAAGTTAAAACGGCTTTTTTTATGAGCCATTAGGCAGTGTAATGGTGGATCAAAGATTATGCCAAAGGCAGCAAGAAGAAAGGTCTGAAAAGAAGATTTACCTACTCATCCTACTCAACTTATCCTCCAAATCCTCTGACTCTCTCTTACTGTACCAGTTTCTCTCCGACAACTTTGGTATAACAAGAAAAACAAGGTCTATTTTTATTCTGGGGCTGAGCTGCACCAACCACACAAGTTTTTACTTATTTATTCACTTCAAAGATTGAAATCAAAAAAAGGAAATTGAAAAGCAAAGATTGTTTTGCAGAGAATTGGCTTCACATTCTCTGCTCTGCTCCCAGGTGAATCACACTCCAAGATATAAAATATGGAAAAAGCTCATCGTAAAGGCAGAACAAACCTCAAAAGGGGCCAAATATTGATTGTAGAACACACAACTTAGGTTTCTTTTAGTTGCAGGGCAGCTCTGTGGTTCAAGAGTTCATCCTGTAACAGAGAGGCGACAGGAAGGTCACAGATTCGATCCCCACGAACGTCAATAGCCATCAAACACTGAGCGGTTCACTCACTGTACGCATTTCAACCGGATGAAAGAGTCACTTACAGCAAAACTGCCAGCAAAATGCACAATGTAAAACACTTCAGACTTTCATTTGTAATGCTAGATTTTAGCATCAATATATATTTTTTTTCAACTTTAACTCACAAATCATTATCTATCAGTCGGAGTGAGAACAATTTGTGTAGTATTTTCCACTTTAAGGACTTGTGAGTTTTATGCCCATCACCCATGTTGTGTAAATAGTGAATGAACTTGTGCCCACGTTATTGCCCGAGGGTGTGTTGGCTTTGAATTGAGGTGTGGTCAGGTGTAAAGGTGGCATGCAGCTTTCTTGAGGATGCAGAAAGCAGCTAATGAGCTAAACCATACAAGGCAAAAGGCCCAAAAGAAGAAAAACAAGAAAAATAAATAAATAATGACGGCTCTCATGTGAAATTTATGGGTAATAATTGTTATTTACTTGAAGGAATTTAAAGAGACACATACCTGTTTGTTTTTAAAGGCTTCACATAGAGAAGTAACGTTGACTACGTCAACATGTCAGATAATTTAAAACACCACACCAATGGTTGAAAAGGGACCGACTGCTTATTGGGTTATTTTGACCCAGAATGTTGGGTTATTCAAATTAACCCAATTTTGTTTTTTTTCGGGGTTTCAGGGTCAATTTTTGAGTTAATTTGACTCGTGATCATTGGTTTAAAATGGTATATGCATCTGGGGACCTGTACCCTACTTTCCCATGTACTTTTATGTAACTGATTGTTGGGAATCAGTAAGATCAGGTAGGCCATAGCGCTAGGATCTTGCCAAAGGACCCACACTGGTACATGTAATTCGCGCCTCACAGATGTGTCTCACCTGGGATTCGATTCGCCACCAACTGGTTAGAAACCTGATTCTCTACCTGCAGAGCTACCAGGTCACTCTAATGCCATTAGGCCTAGAAACTACGTACAGTCAATCGAACCCAATGTTCTGATCCAATTAATAGGTTACTCTCAGAAAAATTACCCATAATTATTAACCCATTTAAAAAACCCTCAAATTGGGTTACAATAGAATCCATATGACCCAAGAAATGGGTATGGATCTGAAAAATAACCCAGAAATTTTAACAACATGCATAACCCAGGAATTGGGTTGAAGAAATAACCCAAGAGTTTTTAGAGTGCAGTAATGCTGGGTCACAGAGGAAGCAGGGAAAGGTACACAAAGGTGAGCAATGGTTTCTATAGGGCACACAGTCCCACTCAGCAATCAAGGTGCAAGTGAAAAATGGCACAGTGCCGTATAGTGCTGTGGAAAAATAATAATAATAATAATATGTCCTTTTTTACACACTCAAAAGTTACTGCCAGTTAAAGGTACCTATGTCGTGTGTGTGAAGGTTTAATCTGCTGACAATCGTCCTGGCAAGAGGTGAAGTATACAGATGCACAAGATGGTGGAAAAATCAAGGACAAATAAAAAACTTTGCCTGTTTTATGACAACAGTTTGCCTTCTTGATTATCTGTTTGTTATAAATTATTTGTCTCAATTTACACAAGAGTAAAGGGAAACCTGAGATTGCCAAATTCAAAGAGCAGTAGAGGTCCTGTGAAGAAGAAATTCAGAAATCTGGCCCTACTTGTGGTTTTAACAGAGAAACCGGAAAGGTAACATGATGAAAGCTTAATCGTCCTCCTGTGTTCTGTGTTTTGAAATCGTATGATCTGTTCAAGTTTTCATATCATGCAGATGGTGAACTGTAAGATTATACACAGGAGCTTCTGTAACACAAAGTGAGCAGCAGGCAGCAATATCAGCAACTGGATAGGTGATGGAGTAGTTCATTAACTCTTGATGAAGGGGAAACGTGGAACACTGAAAATGATAAATGGACCAAAGGGAGTGTATTTTGTAAGATAGTGGGTTAATTAGTTAAAACACAAAAGTATAACTGTGCTCTTTTATACGCATTATCTCAGGAAGTCATAATGTTTATATGAATCAGAGCATCTTGTTTGACAGCAAAGTCAGTCCCCACTTCGGTTGCAGAAATAAAATTTTAATTTGAGCTTAGTTCTCCCTCCAGTCTCTTAAAACACAGGATTTTGCCATTAGATGGATGAGAGGAATTAAAAAGCAAACAGTAAACAAGCAGATGGAAAGACTTTCTTCATTCACAGTCAGAAAATATGCCTCTATGCTTTTTTGTTCTATCCCTTTGTTAACATCTCAACAATTTCCACATGATCAAATACCCAAACTTTGAACACGAAGATTTTGTTGTTCCAAAGATTACCTAAAAACTATGACACGTGTTAAGCCAGTGGCACCACATTTCCAACAGCTTCTCTTTCTTTTTGTAATTTAATTATCCATGAAAATAAATGCTATGATATAGTACTTATAACTAAACCTTGTAGGGTGCTGATTTGTCTGAATTAATGTCAGAACTAAAGACAAGTGACCCGGGGAAGTGAGTGGTGCTCACAGTCGGAACAAACTCTTGCAACTTGAGAACTGCATAATATAATAATATTGCATACCCTAAAGGTTGTGGTAACAATTTAACCAGTGATATAAGTGGGGGGGAGTTCGCTCCAGTATGGCCTCTACTGAATT